TTTTTTTGCCCAAAAGTAAGAACGGTATGTACGTTTGGCTTATGCTTATCTTGTGTTTATCTAAGGCCATTGAGGTAAAGACTCTTAACTTTGAGTACTGTGATATTCTTTATATGATGATTCATGATGAGCTTGGCATATCTCTTAAGTTGTCATGTGAAGTTGTTGGAAAGTGTGTAAATATTTGTGGATTAACATTTTCGTTTGACCGTGGAGTTGTTTCTTATCACGGTGAAGTGTCTTTCTTTGAATTGGAGAGTATGATATTTATTGCTTCTTATGACACTTGGTTATACCATAGAAGTGTGCACTTTGTTGAGGTTTTTACAAGATTGTGGTTTTGTTGGAAGCATGAAACTTTACACTCTCTTGATTCTTCTAATGAGTATTATTTTTCTTATAATCAGGTTTGTGTTGGAGTTGTGTTCTTTATAGATTATGACACTTGGCTATATCATAAGAGTGTCAATTTTTGAGTGCCAAATTGTGATCTTTGATCTTTTAGCTTGGACATAAATGCTTTGATTCTTGTGATTGGCCTGGTACTTATGTTTGCCCCTTTCTTGGTTTTGCAAGGTCCAAATTCGAGGACGAATTTCTTTCAAGTGGGGGAGGATGATACATGCCGGATGAGCATGCCTAACTATTTCCAAGTCAACATCATAGCATTGGAGTGCATTAAAGGAGTCAAGATCAAGAAGGCTATACTTGTAATAATTGACTAAGCTCCTTAGAATTAACTTAGGGGTATTTGGGTCATTTGTAGCCAAATACCCACTCTAGTATAAATAGCCTTAAGGCTTTTATTTTAGGTAGACTTGATTAATGATAAACTTTAAGACTTGCAAGTCTCACCCTTTATCCTTATCTTTTAATTAATGCATTATGTTTATGCCTTTAATTTCTTTATTGCTTTCATGCTAAATTAGTTTTAGTTGGTGAGCAATTAATAGTGAATACTTAATTGCTTAATTACTTTATCCGAGTTTTCAAGAGTTGTCAATCTCTTAAGTTCATAGCTTAGGGTTACAAGTGATTGAGTTCATAGAGGTAATTAGACTTCATCTCCTAATTGGTTCTTGTTCTTCCAATCAATTGTAGGTCTAGCTCTTATGTTCATAGCTTAGGGTTATAATTAGGTTTCATATCCTAATTGGTTCTTGTTCTTATAATCAATTCTAGGTCTGGCTCTTATTTTTGATTCCGCGTGTTTTGCTATATCCGTGTTTTCGATACGATTCCGTATCAGTCATGCATATTCCTAGTTCTACTCTAATTTGTATTTTCTTAAATAACTGTGGTATCTGAGCCAGCTTGCGTGTAACTCGACTAATTCCACGGGATATCTGCTATCTCCCACCAACAACAGGTACCAGGTGACTATATCCATAAGGCTTGGACATATGGGAAGGAATCACCTAGTGTTTTTGTCCCCGTTGGGAATTGAACCTCAGACCTCATGGTTCTAACCCACTTCATTGACCACTAACTCTCATAATTCTACTCTAATTTGTAGTATGAGTCGCATTATCATCACCAAAAGTGGTTGCTTGTTGGAAGTCTCCATTCGTTTGCACTAGTTTCTATTCTTCCTTTCTTTAATAAGTAAAGATAAAACAGGGAAAGAACACTATAGTTTCCTATTAAATTTGCGAATGCACGGCGGAAACCACAATGCTACATTTCCAACAGCATAAAGAATAACTGGCTCCCCACTGAAAAAGTAATTTAGTCGGTTGACCCACGTTGTATGAGGCAGAAAACTACCATATTGAGATCATTAAGTGAACAAAATTTGAAAAAAAGAATTGGGGGAGAAACCAAAGTAACGTCATTAACTACTTTTTTCTGCCTCAAATAAGTTAAAAGGATTTCTCATTTCCGTTTCCTTTAAAAACCAAAAGCTAAACCTGTAAACAAACCATGAACAACAGCTAACTTCTGTTTCTGTTATGCCTTTTGAACTGACATTGATTGATTTGACCTAAGTTGCTTGGACTCGGGTGCGGGTGTTCGATATGGGCGCGGATCTAGAGGTTGGATCCTTCATGATCTAAATTTTTAGATTCGGGAGTATGGCTCCAGGTACGGATAATGGTGTGGGAATTCAGCTAGAAATAATTCAAATATTTAAAATAGAGCTATAAAAATGTCTAAATTATGAGACATTATGTGAAAAACTTCCAAGATATTCCGAGAAGAAGAAAATGTTGATCAAGAGGAGAAACCAAGAAGGAAATAAAAAGAACGGACTGACGTAAAATATTCTATATACAAGGTATTCCATTTTCTTCAATTTCACCCTAGCTTTTGTTTTGATTTAAAAAATTATTGTATTTGTCCTTAATTTCTCCGTTGATCTTGGTCAAAGTACCCAAAATCGGTTGACCAGATCCGTTACGGATCCCACACCCACATCTTGTCGACACTGGCGCGATACTGAAAGTGAAGAGTTCGAGCAACTTAGGATTTGACTGACACGTTATTTAGGAATGGAAAATAAAGGGACTTTGTACATTGAGATGTATCTGATAGACCATAAACTATATTTTGAATTTAGAAGATCCGAGCTTTTACATGTGATATAGTACATAATTGCTTTTGCACATAACTTTAATTTGGTCCTTGTGTGTTGTAGGGTTAGTGGGATTTTTAGGCCTCATTTGTTTTTTTTAAGATTAAGACATCTGAATATCAAGATGTGTATTAAGATTAAGATGTCTGAATCTTGATACACATCTGAATATTAAGATGTGTATGAAGATTTGAATACTAAAAGTTTAAGTCTGTTTGATTTTTAACATCCGAATGTATAAAATTAATCTTTATTCAAAAATTAATAAACATAAAATTCAAATGAAATACTAATTAATATAATATTCTATCAATGAAATATATAGTGTTTTAGAATATGGTAGTTGCGGGTGGTGATGGCTAACAATGGTGCTTGTGAATGTCGACTTGAGGTGGTGGTTGGTGATAATTTTGGTTAATGGTGGTGGTTCAGGGTAGTAGCTAGTGGTGATTTGTAGTGGTGGCGATTATTATTGAGGGTGTTGGTGGTGATAGTTAATAATGACAGGTGGTGGTGGTAGTTATGATTGAGGAAGGTGGTGTTAGGTGGTGGTAGTTATAGCTTCATGGACAAGAATAAAGTTGTAGAAGCACCAAGAAAGCCATTCATAAGGTCTCAAACTAAGGAGAAGCAAGACAAGGTTGTTGGGCTTCAATGCGAGATCAAGAAGGCGCTAATGGTGGAAGAAGAGCTCAAAAATTATGGAGAGGATTTAGCTAAGTGCTACACTCATTTCATGGTCCAAGTCCAAGAGGAGATTGATTGGGGTCCAAGCACCAGCCAAGGAGGGCCTAAATTAGGCGCCTAAATCAACTCACAAAGGAGCCAACTTCGCGCCCCCAAGTTTCCTTATTTTGTTTCCTAGTTTGTTAGGACATATGATGCTTTCCTAGGTAGGTAAGGTTTTGTTTTTCTTTTCCTAAGATTATTGGAATTACTTTCCAAGATTGACTTGGTTTTTTTTTCCTAGAGTTTTACCTTTTCCTATGGTAGTTGGACTTGTTGTCCAAAGTAGTTTAGGACTTTATTTCCTTGTTTTTTTAGGTAGAATTTCGTGACCCCTTCCCTATATAAAGGGGTATCTTCTTTGCTTTTAGACTTAGACTATTATCAATAAAAATTGTGAGATTTTTCTTGCACTCTTGTGTGTGGCTACTCTTGAATTTATTCTTCATCCTTCAAGACTCAACTTAAGGTGGTAAGATTAAACTCTTTCGAAATCTTAGATCACTTCTAGGTATTCAAGAAAGGTGATAAGTTTAGGCTTATTGTTGTTCTTGTTATTCTAAAGGGTCGGGTTTCACAATCTATCTCTTGTTCTTAATTCTCTACCAAAGGCGATTAGTTCTTTGTTAGCTAATTGTTGTTGTTAGGATTCAACTTCAAGAATAGACTTCTTGAATTCAAGAACTCTTTCTTGAATTCAATCTATCTTTAATTTTCCGTCCTTTTTTTTGTTTCTCTATTTTTCTTAGCTTCCGCACGTTTCTTGATTTTCTTGTTTTTCTTTGGTAATTCTTGAATTCCCTATCGTGTTGTTATCAGATAGCTTATAATGATGGGCAGTGCCAGCAATGGTTGTTGATGGTGATGGGGAGGTTAGTTATGGTAGTTGAGGTGAAAGAGTGTTAGTTGTGGTTGAGAATGACGGCGGTGGGAGTGGTGGGGATGGCGGGTGGTGGTAGTCGATAATGGTGGCAGCTGTAATTGAGGATGATGGTGGTTGAGTATGGTTGTGGTGGGTGGTATGGTGGTAGTTGATAATGGTGGGCGATGGCGGCAGTTAGTAATGAATATGGATGATAGCCTCTTAAAATTAAGTCTCTGTTATAGATCTTAATCATACAGACCCATTAAGTGATTGTGAAGTTAAAAAAACAAACACACTTAATTATTAAGATTCAACCACACTTAATTATTAAGATTCAACCTTTAAAAACAAACGCACTTAATGTCTGAGATCTGAATGATTAATATTCAGACCTCCATTAAGCGCAAACAAATGAGGCCTTAGTCCTTAAGTTTATAGCACGTAAATCCCCAATAGTTCTTAACATTTTTATAATTTCTCACAAAACCAGAAAAACTAATGAGCAATAGCTTAACAAGTTTTCTATGGATGTCCTAAGTTATAGGACTGACTCATGCTACCAGTATGACTGACAACCGGATTGTTTAAATTATTGATTTTCCTATTCTTGACAAGAAGTCCCGCGAATACAATCACCCTAATTCTTCAACCGGACAAAAGAAAGAAAACAACTTTAGCAGTGGTGTTGCTTAGAGAAGTATGAGACTAGCAAGATCAAGCTTAGTCCTCATTGTCACAACCAATTTCAAGAAATTTTCCGTGTTGAATGGAACTTCATTTGATATTTTACTTTTTCTTTTTCAAGAATTTCTTCGTTATAGAAAGCAGAAATATCAAATACTGTAGAAGAAATAATGAGCATCCAGATAAGCCATGTGTTGGTTTACTTTCAGTTCAGAATGGGTTCAGTTGAAAACTGTTGTCAAGAAGAATATAATGTAACAGTATGTACTTGTGCACGAAGGATTATGTCACTGGCCATGCACAAATGCACCAGACTACCTCTCTCGATATAAGAAGATCCTAGCCACATATTTCTTCTCCATAGTAACCCTACGACCTAGACCTCTAAGTTTCTAGAGGCCATTGTGTTTCTCTCGTGCATGATGATCCAGGATGGACCTTGAATAGCTAGTAATCAAGCATTTAATAGCTTGGCAAGCCCGCATTCTTTAGGATTAATGTTCAGAGCTGGGCACCTTACTTTAGGATTTTAACTATCTTGAAGGTCCGTAAGGATCAGACAGCCTTTTTTTGAATATGAAATGCTAGTCCCTGCACATTACTAGGATCTTTTCTTACTTTTTTCTGGATTTAAAAAGTGATAAATGCCAAAGATTCTTACCTCTGCCAGGCTGAATGTATGAGAAATGTTGATTGTAATCAAACCCTTAGACAACCAGGATAGGAGCTCTTTCAGAGAATCTCCAAGCACATTAGGTTGATATATCTTGTGGCTTCCCCAATAGAGTCCGTGAATCGTCCAGTTCTGATGGGAAAAAAAAGTATAAAAAATGATGGTTATTACTCTCGGACAAAAGAAAATGAATAAGCTCTCTTTTTGGAGGCTGGGATGACGGAGTAAAGAGAGATAAAAAGAAATGAAAGTCCTTTGCTGCTCATACTGCTTGTATTATGAGACACCTGGATAATTAATAGTAGCTTGTCCATATTATGAAATGAAAGGTGGAGCAAACTTCTCATGCAATAATTTGGGAGCAGCATGTCTTAAAAGAAAATACTTACATTCCTTTACATCCTCTTGTGACAAGAGCGTGAAATTTCTACTCTTTAGATCCTTCAAGATTGGTTTTCCTTTTCTTTTTTCTTTTTTTGAAATAGTGGTACCTACGCCAACTTGGGTGCACCTCGACCATTTCATTGGGTTGCTACCTCCCACCAGCACAGGTACCGAATAACTCTGCCCACCATAGCTTAGGAAGATGGGACGAATTCACGTAGTGTTTTGTCTCTATTGGAATTTGAATGGTCTCCCAAGTTTGCACTCACTTCATTGACCACTAAGCCACACCCTTCAGCGCAAGATCCCTCTAGATTGTTGATTTGAGACTAAGAAATGTTATGTTGCTAGCATGTTGCAAACATAGTATATGCAATCAGGATTATGGCAAGACAGTCTATATTCTAAGAATGATCTTTTAACTTACTGCTTGTATTCAAATTTCAAACTACTAGTAGGAACTTCAAGGAGCTAGTGTGCCCACCACATGCGTAACTTAGGAGCCTTGGACATGTCTAATTAAGAGCTACTCAATTGACCAGCAACCGGACTAACTAAGCCTGGTACAGTCAAACGACTAGAAGGAAAGAACCAAAAGGGGGTAAAAAGAAAAAGATCGCGGTGCTTAGAAGCATTACCTTCACCAAAGCAATGTTCGCTGGGATGACAGGTACTTCTTCACTTGCAAATCCAATAACCAGAATTTGCGCTCCCCAATTTAATAGCTTCATGCTATCTTTTGTAAGCTTCCCGCCGACCGGATCATACAAGACATCAACCCCTTTGAGCTTTCTTGACTTCAGGAATCCCTTGACACTTTCGATGACGTTTGCATTGCTCAAGTCTACTACATGATCAACTCCTGAAGATTTCAAAAATTGCACCTTTTCATTTCCCCTATGAATAACAGACAAGGATAACTTTTAGCACAACAACCTTAAAAGAACTTTTTTGTACACTTGAGAATTGAAAAGTACCTAGCAACTGCAATAACTGTTGCTCCACAAACCTTCCCAATTTGTACCGCTGAGAGCCCAACACCTCCAGCCGCTCCAAGTACCATTAACACCTACCATTTGTAAACCAGTATGTCACATGATTCGGGTGTATAATAAATCATGTACCAATGGCCTTACCATTTTATGCCCTAAAGCTCAAGGGAAGGTGACCCTACCTGATTGGGACGCAGCTGTGCTCTATGCACCAGAGCCACATGGGATGTCCCATATGCAACAGGAAGTGCACCCGCTGCCACTAGATCACACCCATCAGGTACTCGAAACCTTCAATTATAAGCTAACTTAAGACATTTTTGAACACTAAAACCATTGAACCAACCCAAAAGTAAGAAAAAAAAGCACAAGTCTAGTTTGGCTCGTATACAAGGTCCATTGACCTATGTCACGCGAAATCAAGTAAGGGTACACTTCCCATTTTTACCAAATTTTAGGGGCCGCTTGCTTACAAGGACTAGGGAGGTTATCCCAGTATAATATTTGGGATTATCTATCATGGTTATATCCCAGGATTATAATCCTTGGATAACCTGGTTTTGAACCAAACAACCCCTCGTGTATATTGAAAGATATGCACTAGTATCCAAGCACACCCCACCCTCCCAGACGGGCCAGACCCTCACTTGTGGGAACTCACTGGTATGTTGTTGTTGTTGTTGCAGTAGTATCCAAGCCCTATTACACTAATTTCAATTGTTTAACGTTTAACCAATCAATTAAACAACTACACCTCAAATCGAACTAGTAAAAGTGGACTCTACTAATCATTTACCCATTCTTCTATTAGGCCCATTTCATTTCAATATAAATGTAGAGTGTTGTCTAAACCACGTAAATCAATTCCAATACTGATAGATAAACTTCGAAAACGAAAACTAAGCTTTCCGCATTTGAATTGTTTAATCATTGTAAAATAAAGCAGAAGAGATTAAGGAAGAACTGACAAGTCGGATTGATCGGCGACGATGAATTGAGCAAAGGAGCCAAGTGCAACAAAAGAGCAAACGGGATCACCAATTTTGAACTTAGTAACATTAGGGCCAACGGCATCAACAACGCCGGAGTAATCGGAGCCAGGAATGAAAGGTAAAGGGGGTTTCTCTTGGTACTTGCCGAGGACTTGGAGGTAATTTGCGAAATTCAAGCTGGTTGCTTTGACTCGTACTCTAACGGAGGTAGGTGACCCCAAATTAGGGATTGGATGAGAGGTTGAGAGATCGAATGGTGAATTTTCTGAGACATTCGGTGGTAGAGTAGGATCGCCGAGTTTTCTTACAAGTAGAGCTTCCATTTTTCACAGTATATCTTTTGTGCATTACACTCCAGATAAGCTCGGTTTTTGTACTTGTATGGTTGTTTGGTTATTGAGATTCTATAGCATTTTATTCTGTATTTTTGTTTTCTCCCCACTAGGATAAGCACCTACGTGATTCGAAAAAATATTAATCTTATAAAATTATGATTTAATATATTATATTAATTTAATAAATATTAATTGTATTTATTATTTAATATAGTGTGCAGAAATATAACACAATCTATACAAAATTAAAGGATACATATTATATAATAATCAAATAAATTATTTGTTCCTTTTTATTTTTATTATTGAATTAGCAAGTACTCCCTCCATTTCAATTTAGATGACACACTTTCCTTATTAGTTTGTTCCAAAAAGAATGACACATTACTATATTTGGAAAATAATTCAACTTTAAACTTTTCATAACACATTTTCACCTTAATGAGAAGCATTTATAATCATACAAATGGCATGGTCCTACAAAGCTTTTACCCTTTAAGACCGCAAGTTTCAAAAATCTCATCTTTTCTCTTAAACTCCGTGACGAGTCAAACTACCTCATCTAATTTGGAACGGAGGGAGTACTTAGTACTATTGATAATTTTCTTGAGTGTTATTTATTTATCTTTTATTTTTTAATTAATTTAAAATATAAATATCACAAAATTATCTCTATCCCCCTTTTTTCGTACATTTCTTTCTACTGTAATACTTAGTTGATTAGTTTTCAAAATTTGTAGTTCATTAAAAATTTAAATAATGAATTTCTTTTTTACTAAATTATAATTTTGAATTCATCAAATGGTATATATATATATANATGCGGCTATGTAGCCGCAGATGCGGAAATAACTGGTCAGAAATGGTTTTAATTCCCTTCGCGAAATATTGAAAGAACACATATTTTGACTTCGGACTTGGGGTGTTCTTGAGCGATTTTGAGAGAGGAAATTCAAGGACTTCGATCAGGTAAGAATTCTTGGACTTAGAACACAATTTTATCATGCAAATACATGAAATTACACTGAAAACTCAAGGAATTAGGGTCAAAAATGGTGGTTTAGGGCTTGAAACCTAAGAGAACAAAAATGGGAATTTGAGGGGTCATTTGGACTCCGATTTTGGTGTTCTTTATATGCATGGACTTGTGGCGAGATAAGGAATCCGGTGATGTGAATTTTATAATATTTCGAGAAGTGGGCCCGGGGCTCGGGTTTTGCCAACTTCGTGATTTTTGATGTTTTTCGAGTCTTTTCGATTGGGTTATATTCCCTTAGCATATTGTGACGTATTCGTTGTGGTTTTGGTCAGATTCGACGCGCGAAGAGGTGAATTCTAAAGGCAAGGGCATAGCAAGCTAGGACTTTGGCCGGCTTGAGGTTAGTAATAAATGTAAATGCTGTGTTGAGGGTTTGAAACCCCGAATTTGCACATCGTAGTGCTATGTGAGGTGACTTGCACGCCGGATAACGGGCGTGGGGTAGAGCACCGTCAGGGACTGTGACTTGGTCCGTCCCGCTTAATAAAATTGGTACCTATTTGATTGTAGATTTGTAATATCCTTATAACAATGGATTAATTGTCATAATTGGGCTTCGTGCCAACTACTTGAATCCTTCAGGGATTATTTTAATGGTTTCTTACCATATTTATAAATATTAAACTTAGTCCTGGTATTTAATACTGTGTTTGAAATCTCAGCCTTTTTCTTAAATTAGAAATTAAATTAATATTTTTAAATGAAGTTTGGGCTGAATATTTTTATACTATTGTGTGATTTTTGGAGTGAGTATGTGATCGGGCTGCATGCCGCAGCAGTATTATAATGATATTGATATGAGGCCAAGGGCCTGTTTGATGCCACGAGATGGCTTATTATTGCGCTTGGGCCGCAAGGGGCCCCTCCCGGAGTCTGCACACCCCCAGTGAGCGCCGTCGACGTTAAATAAATGGAGCGGGCTGCACGGTTGCAGCGAGGTACTGGTTTATGTGCTGTATTGCATATTTAATTGTTATTTATTCTCATTCTGGTGTGACTTTATTATAACTGTTTTTAATGTTTAATGTATTATGCTATTGGTCCACGTTGTTGTATTTATAGTTTTACTTTGTGTTTATTTAGGATTTCTTATCCTCAGACTTTTTTTATATTTATTACTTTCTGAGTTGGAAGTACTCACAATACTCCCTGCACTTTGTGTGCAGATCCAGGTACACCAAAGGGTGAGTGAGGGCTTGTTAGCTGAGCAGAAATTATCTGGGAGTGTCGAGGTAGCTGCATGGCGTTCGCAGCCTTGATCTCTCCCTTCTATCTTTTATTATTTTATTCGTACTATTTTTCTAGTCGGACTTGTAATAGGTGAATAATCTGCTTCTAGAGGCTCATGTTCGTGACACCAGATTTTGTGAACTATTTAGTTTTTTTTTTTTTGGGGGGGGGTTTTCGATTGTTAGAGATTATATCAGAATTTTCGCACTAAATTGGTATTATAGTAGTGAACATTTATTTATTTATTTAGATTATTTGGCTAAGGTTGCGCAAATGGTCGGGCTTGCCTAGCAATGTGTTGGGCACCGTCACGACCGGGGTTTGGGTCGTGACACTTTGTATATTGAGATGTATCTGATAGACCATAAACTATATTTTGAATTTAGAAGATTCGAGCTTTTACATGTGATATAGTACATAATTGCTTTTGCACATAACTAAAATTTGGTCCTTGTGTGTTGTAGGGTTAGTGGGACTTTTAGGCCTCATTTGTTTTTTTTAAGATTAAGACGTCTGAATCTTAATACACATTTGAATATCAAGATGTGTATTAAGATTAAGATGTCTGAATCTTGATACACATCTGAATATTAAGATGAGTATGAAGATTTGAATACTAAAAAATTAAGTCTGTTTGTTTTTAACATCTGAATGTATAAAATTAATCTTTATTCAAAAATTAATAAACATAAAATTCAAATGAAATACTAATTAATATAATATTCTATCAATGAAATATATAGTGTTTTAAAATATGGTAGTTGCTGGTGGTGATGGCTAACAATGGTGCTTGTGAATGCCGACTTGAGGTGGTGGTTGGTGATAATTTTGGTTAACGGTAGTGGTTCAGGATAGGAGCTAGTGGTGATTTGTAGTGGTGGCGATTATTATTGAGGATGTTGGTGGTGATAGTTAATAATGACGGGTGGTGGTGGTAGTTATGATTGAGGAAGGTGGTGTTGGGTGGTGGTAGCTTATAATGATGGGCAGTGCCAGCTACGGTTGTTCATGGTGATGGGGAGGTTAGTTATGGTAGTTGAGGTGAAAGAGTGTGAGTTGTGGTTGAGAATGACGGTGGTGGGAGTGGTGGGGATGGCGGGTGGTGGTAGTCGATAATGGTGGCAGCTGTGATTGAGGATGATGGTGGTTGAGTATGGTTGTGGTGGGTGGTATGGTGGTAGTTGATAATGGTGGGCGGTGGCGGCAGTTAGTAATGAATATGGATGATAGCCTCTTAATGAAATTAAATCTCTGTTATAGATCTTAATCATACAGACCCATTAAGCGATTGTGAAGTTAAAAAAAACACTTAATTATTAAGATCTGAATAATTAAGATTCAGCCTTTAAAAACAAACGCACTTAATTTCTGAGATCTGAATGATTAAGATTCAGACCTCCATTAAGCGCAAACAAATGAGGCCTTAGTCCTTAAGTTCCCAATTATAGCACGTAAATCCCCAATAGTTCTTAACATTTTTATAATTTCTGAGAAAACCAGAAAAACTAATGAGCAATAGCTTACTAAGCTTTCTATGGATGTCCTAAGTAATAGGACTGACTCATGCTACCAGTATGACTGACAACCGGACTGTTTAAATTATTGACAACTGGAAACTCAGGGAATACAATCACCCTAATTCTTCAACCGGACGAAAGAAAGAAAACAACTTTAGCAGTGGTGTTGCTTAGAGAAGTATGAGACTAGCAAGATAAAGCTTAGTACTCATTGTCACAACCTATTTCAAGAAATTTTCCGTGTTGAATGGAACTTCATTTGATATTTTACTTTTTCTTTTTCAAGAATTTCTTCGTTATTGAAAGCAGAAATATCAAATACTGTAGAAGAAATAATGAGCATCCAGATAAGCCATGTGTTGGTTTACTTTCAGTTCAGAATGGGTTCAGTTGAACACTGTTGTCAAGAAGAATATAATGTAACAGTATGTACTTGTGCACGAAGGATTATGTCACTGGCCATGCACAAATGCACCAGACTACCTCTCTCGATATAAGAAGATCCTAGCCACATATTTCTTCTCCATAGTAACCCTATGACCTAGACCTCTAAGTTTCTAGAGGCCATTGTGTTTCTCTCGTGCATGATGATCCAGGATGGACCTTGAATAGCTAGTAATCAAGCATTTAATAGCTTGGCAAGCCCGCATTCTTTAGGATTAATGTTCAGAGCTGGGCACCTTACTTTAGGATTTTAACTATCTTGAAGGTCCGTAAGGATCAGAACAGCCTTTTTTTGCATATGAAATGCTAGTCCCTGCACATTACTAGGATCTTTTCTTACTTTTTTCTGGATCTAAAAAGTGATAAATGCCAAGGATTCTTACCTCTGCCAGGCTGAATGTATGAGAAATGTTGATTGTAATCAAACCCTTAGACAACCAGGATAGGAGCTCTTTCAGAGAATCTCCAAGCACATTAGGTTGATATATCTTATGGCTTCCCCAATAGAGTCCGTGAATCGTCCAGTTCTGATGGAAAAAAAAGTATAAAAAATGATGGTTATTACTCTCGGATAAAAGAAAATGAATAAGCTTTCTCTTTTTGGAGGCTGGGATGACGGAGTAAAGAGAGATAAAAAGAAATGAAAGTCCTTTGCTGCTCATACTGCTTGTATTATGAGACACCTGGATAATTAATAGTAGCTTGTCCATATTATGAAATGAAAGGTGGAGCAAACTTCTCATGCAATAATTTGGGAGCAGCATGTCTTAAAAGAAAATATTTACATGCCTTGACATCCTCTTGTGACAAGAGCGTGAAATTTCTACTCTTTAG